TAATAAAGAGGTAATATGCAAATTGACCATCACACTGTCACAAGATGGCGGCACCCACAGCGGGGCTGGGGCCGGCTGCTCCGCACGCCTGCTGCCATAGTCCCCCGCTGGGGGTCTCAGGTCCTACTGTAACCCCCACTGACTGACAATTCAACCAGGGTCCTCAAACGAGCTGCCCATCCCACTCTTCCTCCCCCGAAGTTGAAGCCTGACTGTGGTGTCCAACAAATTGGAAGTTATAACTCATGTCATTGAGAGTATCCTCCATTCCTCAACCGGGGCCGGCTGCTCTACATGCCTGCTGCCGGAGTCCCCTCAGCCCCACCAGGGGCTTCGGGTCCTCCTGTACCCCCCACTGCCTGAGGCTCAGGCAAGCCACAGATGGAGGTGGCCACTGCCCAGGGCCAGCCCAAGGTGTAGGCAAGCCTCAGATGGTAGCTGCCCAGCCACCCGGGGCTGGCCCGAGGCTCAGGTAACCAGGGCTGGCCAGGGCTTGCACTCCCAGCAGTGGCAGCAGCAGAGATATGATGGAGGCGTTGCCTTCCCCTGATTACTGGGTTGCCTCCTGCCCCTGAGGGTTCCTGGACTGTGAGAAGGGGCAGGCCAGGCTGAGGGACCTCCCCCTCCAGTGCATGAATTTTCATGCACCAGGCCTCTAGTATATAATAATTACAAAAATTTTATTGAAATTTGATCATGATACTAAGCCAGGCAGATTGCATTTTCTCCCATAACATACTGCAATAATCTTCACAGAGGTCTGTCCTAGGACATTCTCTGGTTCCACCCCATATTTAGGTTTTCATGGGGGAACTTGCTGTAGGTTGATGTTTTTCCTTATAACCCTGGAGCTATAGGGTCAAGTATGGGTGGCAAGTGCAGGAAAAAATGAAACTGTGAAAATGTGATTGTAATGACCCTTAAAGCTATTATATAATACTAGAGGTCCAGTGCACGAATTCGTGCACAGGTGGGGTCCCTCAGCCCTTTGGGGCATTTTGGCCAGTCCCGATTGGGGCCGATGGGGGCTGGCCGGCCAGTGAGGGACTGTGGGAGGGCTCCAGGGTGTGTCTGGCCCTCTCGCCCAGTCCTGATCAGCCGACCCCAGCAGCAAGCTAACCTACTGGTCAGAGCATCTGCTCCCTGGTGGTTAGTGTGCGTCATAGCAACTGGCCGAGCGGTTGACCAAACAGTCAACCAATTGGTCAGACACTTAGCATATTATGCTTTTACTAGAATCCTGGTGCACGAAATTTGTGCGCTGGGGGTGTGGGGGTCCCTCAGCCCAGCCTGCACCCTCTCCAATCTGGAACCCCTCGGGGGATGTCTGACTGCCAGTTTAGGCCCAATCCCAGAGATTGGGCCTAAATCGGCAGTCAGACATCCCTCTCACAATCCAGGACTGCTGGCTCTCAACTGCTCACCTGCCTGCCTGCCTAATTACCCCTGTTTCTGCCTGCCAACCTGATCACCCACTAACCACTCCCCTGCTGGCCTGATTGACGCCTAACTGCTCCCCTGCCAGCTTGATCACCCCACTGCCCTCCCCTGCTGGCCCAGTCACCCCCATCTGCCCTCCCCTGCTGACCTGTTCACCCCCAACTGCCCTCCCCTGCTGGCCTGATTGCTCACAACTGCCCTCCCCTGCCGGCCATCTTGTGGTGGCCATCTTGTGACGACATGAGCATGGCCATCTTGTGACCACATGGGGGTGGCCATCTTGTGCGAGGGCATGATGGTCAATTTGCATATTACCTCTTTATATATAGGATTATATAAGATTATACTGGCTAGGAAGAGTACAGTAAAAAAGATTTTCATACATGCCTCAAATGTCATTGAACTCTTATTAGGTAGATATTTGTGAAATAATGACACTGGCAATAATGGTTTATTTTTTATTCTGTAATCATTTTGGCCACTGCAAGGGTAATATGCCTTGGGGAAAACATTAGCATTTGGCTAATAGGTTTTAATAGATGCAGAATCAATAAAAGTGAAGGCTTTTTTTTTTCTTCATGTCAATTCAATAGACAAAGTCAAATTTGTAGTGGTTAATTATGCCAGGTTATTTTGTTTGTTTGCTTTGTCTCCAGGTAGTAAAGAAGAGTTCATTTTGCCCTTAAATTGATAGATCAAGGTGGCCTATAGCTGGAGTCGGGGGGGAGGGGTTGATGCGGTTGAGAGACATTTCAGAAATAGAATAGTGAGTTGGATGTGGGGAATGACGGTAAGGAGCCAAAGCCATGGCTGAGATGTGGCTTCTTTTCATTTATTATTTACAAATTACAATTTTTGTTGTCATCTGACTGAGATTGAAAAGCAAAATTCCTACGCATTAAAAATATCAGCATGTTTGGGGTTTGATTCAGTTGGGTTCTGGTTGAGATTTGATTATTTACCTTTATGTATGGGTAGGATTTCAGTTTATTATCTATGTTGCTCTTATAAAAAAATAAAATAAAGAGATTTAGAGAGACTTTAAATGAAATTTTCCAGGCTAGCCTGAGCCTTATTCCACTACCTAACCCAAGTCTTCAGTTATGAAAGTTTTTCCTGTAGGGACCTCTGCTGCCCACCATTCCCCCAGTTCATTGTACTTCTTTCTCCAGTGTCTGAGCCACACCCAACCTCTTTCCTAGGCTGGCAGAGTCTACACTTTTTTATAAGTTCACTTCCCATTCTTCTTTGAGCTTTTTATGTTATAGAGCCCCTTACTTCCAGTTCTACTCCATTTATTCTTTGTGGTCTGTTTCTCTGGGACTTTCCTGCTTAACACTGTATTTCCATAGTAGTAAAAGTTATAATAAAATAGAAAAGGGAAGCCCTAGCTGGTTTGGCTCAGTAGGTAGAGCATTGGCCTTCTGAACTGAAGGGTCCAAGGTTCGATTCCAGTTAAGGGAACATGCCTTGGTTGCAGGCTCAATCCCCAGTAGGGGACGTGCAGGAGGCAGCCAATCAATGATTCTCTCTCATCATTGATGTTTCTATCTCTCTCTCCCTCTCCTTTCCTCTTTGAAATCAATAAAAATGTATTTTTTAAAATAGAAAAAGGCATATTATTCATGTAGTTCAAGTAGAAAATACAGAAATCTGTGCTTCTTTAAGATCTACTGCCTCATAATTAAGTGGAACATCTAGAAATTAGATATTTCTTTATTATTATTATACTATGTTGAACTCTAATGCAAATTTTAAGCTTAAAAATTTTGAAAGCAAATTTTTAAGTAGTAATTGACCTTATTTTCTACATATTATAGTCAGAACGTGCATTTCCTACTACCCCATGAAATACTTGTGTGATATTCCAAGTGAAAGCCTTCATAGAAGGACTCTCAAATGAGTACTAAATAGAACTTTGAGCCATAAGGTAGTTGCCTTTTGTATCTTCTGAAGGGAACCCCAATTTAGCCAATACAGAATAGTTCAGCTGAAGGTCTTGAACTGCATTTGTGGATCTCAGAGACACTCCTCCTGATAGAGATGTTTCCCAAAGTCTTTATTTCCAGCTTGGTGCCCTGGGCATTTCTGAATGATGTGTACATAGCAGGGACAAGTACTTTTAGGTGTATGCTAGTAGCAATTATGTCAAGGAAAACACTCCAAATTTAGGAACTGTCAATCTCTAGAATAACAGTGGATTAGGGGATGTCAAAAGAAGCAGGCATTCTGGGACAAGAGCCACCAACAGGCTCTTTTCCCCTGAATTTAATGGCAGATCTCAGTCCATGTCCAACCAGATCAGTTGGAGGATTATTGGTTTTTGCTCTTCCTTTAGGGGCTTATACGAAATCTGGCCATTGGTTTGTTTCCCTAAAACATACCAGATAGCTCTGTCACATTAAACAGTATGCGTCACAGCACTGAGCTTTCAGGGTAGATATATAGGCTCATAGCCACAGATATTCATATAGATCGTTTTTGTGCAGTAGTCCCCCAAACTCCCTGTACACTTGGGCTTTCACTGTGTGTGTGTGTGTGTGTGTGGGGGGGGGACGAACATCAGAGTAAATGCAAATGCAAGGCCTGATCAGGTTCCTTCCCAACAGCAAAGTAAGGGGCCTGTAATAATATACTGTTTAATTTCCTTTGGAGAAACTGGACTATTGACAGATGAACCTCTTTTCCCTTGCACTCATATTTCTTTAACAGAGTTGTGGTTGGGAAATGATCCAGGATTCATAAGGTCAAGTAGTGACCTGGTTCACATACCGTAGACTCCTCTCATCTATCTCCACAGCATCTCCAAGCAGGTGGTCTCCAAGCTGTTGGTACATCCACACCATAAAAGGTCACCCAGAGGACACATGAACTTCTTGAGTTTGGCCCTCTGTGGTTCTAATAGGCCTGTGAAACTCAAGTCTCAATTCCGGATAAGCGGCACTCTGCAGCCTGAAGTCATTATAATGTACTTGGTAAATGGACATCATGTTATAAGGTACAGGGAATTAAAGCCATTGGAAGATCAAAGAAATAATAATACATTGGATTTTTGTAATACCTTTCTTCATGAGAAAATACACTTTCCTAGACTACCCAATTGTATTCTTTCTTTAATTATCCCAAGAGTAAAAGAATAAAGGAATGTTCATAAATATTCTTAGCCTTATCTTTGAAAGTTAAAAAAATATATATTTTAAAAAGGTATCATAAGAACTATTTTCTCCTCCCTACTCCCCTGGTTTCCTGCTGCATAAGTGAAGACGTTTTTCTCTGTCTGAAACTCAGCCTTTGGATTCTGTAATCATTTTTACAGAAGATTTTTGTTATCGAAATACTTATGGATCAACATTGAAGATCATCTTAATAGACAAATAACAAGTACCTTGGTGATACCTGCTCATTTTACACTCATTTCTGGGAAGGCCCACTTCAACACACCTGAGAACAATGTTGCTTTGAAATAACTTACATACAGTGCTCACTAGTTTCTCCTTGATTAAGAAAGTAGAGTGCTAGTGTGATCTTTTGACTCACTCTCCCCTTCTTGTATTTTTCAGAAATTGAGGCAAAGGAAGCATGTGACTGGCTCCGTGCTGCTGGGTTCCCACAATACGCTCAGTTATATGAGGGTAAGTTGGCCTTCCCTTTACCCTTTTTAAAGAGAATAAAAGCAAAATAAACTGCATTTATGCTGTGCTATGTTTTGACTTCTAAGTCTTTTCTTACCCTTTTTTTTTTCTTTCCTGTCTCTTTCCACTTTCCTGTCTCTCTCCCTCGACTTTGCAATGGCAAGGGCTTATCCTGATGCCAATTTGGGAATAAGTGTTGTTTCCCAAGACTATTTTTCTTTCTGTTCTACACTTTCTGCTCCTCTCTTTACCATCATTCCCTACTGTACCTTTTCCTTCAGTGTTCTGCCAGGGCAGCTCTTCTTCACTTCCGTTTTTGTTCTTTTTCTTTTTTTCTTCTTCATTACTCTTAGTTTTCTTGAAAGTACAATAAATTAGTTGTTGAAAATTTTTCTAGAAATAACAAAACTAATTGTCTTGAGGCTTATCTTCAGTTCTGCTTACTTTATATGAACATTTTTAAGGTATATGTGATTTTGGGGGGTTTTAAGTAAAGTGCTTTTATTGCTAATATAATACTTCCTTCCTTTCATTTATGTTTTAATAGTTAATAAACTTATTCACCTGTATTTTACTTATCCCTTAATTATAAACAAGGCTTCAAATTACTTGTGTAGTTCTTAGGATCCCAACAGTAAGCAGATGGCACACTCAAGATAATCTGTGGATGATTTACTTACCATTCATTACAACGGTCCATTGCAGGCTATAGGAAACAATATCAGCTTCTCTTCCTGATGGCATAAAATTTATGTGAAACAGACTGACGAATCTCAGAATGAAGTTGGGGACAGGAAGAGATTAACCAAATAACTTATATGTATATATGCATAACCCTTGGACCCAGACAATGGTATAGTGAAGGCCTGGGAGAGGGTCCCATGGGGGTAAAAAGGGGATATCTGTAATACTTTCAATAATGAAGATAATGAAATGCTGAAAGGTATCCTTTAAGAAGAGGAAGAAGAAGAAAACGGTAAAGATACAAATTATGAACAACAAACATGCATCTACCAACAAGTGAATCTAAGAATCAAGTGAATAAATAATCTGGTGATCATAATAGAAGCAAGGACATAGAAAGGGAATGGACTGACTATGAAGGTAAATTTAAAAAATGTATGTAGGTTAGAAAGAATCAACAAAATTAACCTGTACTCATGGTGAATCTCATTCACTCATGCAGAAGCTCTGTTTTATAATTTAAAATAATGAAATAAAAATTACTTATTCTACTTCTCTTATTTAAATTCTGTGAAGATAAAGGAGAGCATATCTATGAGTGTGCTTTGAAGTCCAGAAGCTCTGATAATTTTTTTTATAGAATTATAGCCTTTTAGGCAAGGAAGGGTCTTATCATTTTGGCCTTATCAACCTTCACTCCCAGGCACCACTCCCAATTCACTGATTATGAACGACAGGCCCAAAAAGTTGTGACTGTTCCAAGGTTTACAGGTAGAAGAGTCAGAATTAAAATCACAGTCTCTTGAGCTTTAATATTTTCTGCTATATCATATATTCTCTTTGTAATCTCAAAATACTATATGACTTAAATGTGAAGTGTATAAATGGCTAAAAAGTAAAGATGTGTAAAATGTATCTGTCAGATTGTGTTTAAGCCATATCTATATCTATATATCTATATACCTATCTATCTATCTATCTATCTATCTATCTATCTATCTATCTCTATATATATAAAAGCTAGTATGCTAAGTGTCTGACCATCTGACCAATCGCTATGATGTGCACTGACCACTAGGGGCGCAGATGCTCAATGCAGGAGCTGTGGTGATGCACATTACAGAGAAATGGCACCACGGACCTGGTACCCACAAAGCAACACTCAGCTTCTGCCAAGTGGGACATAGGCCCTGGAGCAACAGCCCACCAAATATCAGCTAATGCTGCTGAGACCCCATGGCACAAAATGTGGCCCACAACCCAACCCAGCCCAGAAACAGTGGCTGTGGCGCCAGGTAATGATGTCACATAGTAATGCCTGGCTGCCTCTCCTTAGCAACTAGCCTCCTTGGAGTTTCTTCAGCCCAGGAACACGACTTGCTTTATAGCCAAGAAATCAGAAAGCAGGTCTAATTAAGCAAGTTTATATATATATATAAAGCTCTCACTGGCGCCAATCGCACACATGTGTTTTGATCTGTCATTGTTAATCGTGAATTTGGTTGACACTGCTATTATAGAGAAAGGGTGAATAGTGATATTAAAATATTTTTTCTAATTAATTTCCTTTCAATGTGCACGAATTCGTACACTGGGCCACTAGTTCATTGAATGAATGTAATAAAGATAATAGCAAACACTATGGAGAACACTCAATGTGCCAGGTACTATTCAAAGCACTTTATATAACTACTAGAGGCCCGGTGCACAAATTCATGCACAGGTGGGGTCCCTCAGCCAGGCCAGCAATCGGGCCAATCGGGACCATCTCGCCCAGTCCCGATTGGGGCCAATCGGGGCTGGCTGGCTGGGGGAGGAACCACGGGATGTTGGCTGGCCAGGAGGAGGGACCGCAGGAGGTTGGCTGGCTGTGGGAGGTTGGCTGTGTGAGTGCACTGACCACCAGGGGGTAGTTCCTGCATTGAGTGTCTGCCCCCTGGTGGTCAGTGCACATCATAATGTCTGGTCGTTTGGTCAACCGGTTGTTTGGTTGATGGGTAGTAACAGTTGCTTAGGCTTTTATATATATATAGATTCATTTAATATTCACCACAAACCTCATGCCCATTTTACAGATGAAGGAACAGGCCCAGAAGTGCCTTGAACCCAGTTCTACAACTAGAGAGTAGCAGATCCAGGACTGAAAGCCAGAGCATACACTGCACACACACCCTCCCTCGAAGAACAAGACTGCCTTCATTCTGGCACCACCTAGAATTCACTCATTACTTTTTTTCACCAGAAGAGGAATTGTTTCTGTTTCCAAATTGTATTAATATTTACATACCCCTAGCCATATATTATGATTGGCAAGAAGCAGTACAAAATATGAAATGAGGAAGAGAAAGAATGGCAGGATAATGATAATGAACTGATACTGTCTGTGGCATTTGGCTAAGGCTTCTATTACAATGATCTCCAGATTTTTACTCTGAATGAGGTACCTAAAATTAACACAGTGTCTTAAATATTGCCCTTGACCTCCAACACTGGCATAAATAGACTGTGGAGAAAAGTGATGATGGTGGAATTCCTTTTCTCTTTGGATAAAATTAGTTGTTTGAGTATTTTGCTTATGCGCTAAAGTGATTCAAGATTTTGCTACAAAAGAAAAATTTGAGGCCATTGAGTTTCAGGTGTTTTGGGAAATGTCCTTTCTGAAGGAAAAAACAACATAAACCAACCATTCATGAACTAGTCAGGATAAAGTGAGAGCCTTGGGTGAATGAGGAAAATGTAAAAGCTCTTCTCCTTATAGGCAAATGTTTTGATAATGATGAGCTATAAAAATGCAGACATTTAGTATTCAGTTCCATCCAAAGTCAAGTACTTGGTTTTTCTCATATTTCATTATCTCTTTTTTGTATCCTTAAAAGCATTTATTGTGATGAAAATAAAACTGCTTTCTATCTTAATCAGTACCAGCATACTCCCCATCAATGGAGAGTAACTGCTGTTACGATCATTCCTATGTACAAAAACATGGTGGCCTGAAGATGTGTGTCTATTCAGATAAAAAAGGGCACATAAATACTTTTGTCTCCCTCTTTATCTCTTTCAGATTCACAGTTTCCCATTGACATTTTGGCTGTTAAGAACGATCATGAGTTTCTTGAAAAGGACCTTGTAGAACCTCTTTACAGGTAAATCATGTGAAATACTTTTGTTTCTTTCAATTGTTTCCAATAGGCATCACTATATTGAGGAGTGAGTTCAGTAGTTCAGTAACTTCATTGAGTGCCAGGCATGGGTCCAGGTTCTAAGAGTATACTATGGTGAGCATGATCAAGCCTGGTTTCATGGAACTTAAATCTTAGTAGGAGGCTTCAGAAAATAGACTAGAAAAGGAAAGAGAGAGTGAGAGAAAAAGAGAGGGAGAAGGAGAGGTTATCTCAGAGAATGTGCAATGCTATGAAAAAAGTAAAACAAGATGAGGCTAGAGACAGTGGTTGGGGTCGTGGATGGGTTAGTGGGAGGAAGCAGCATGTGTGGTCAAGGAAGGCCCTGAAAATCTCAGGAGTACGTCAAATTTGCCTGTATTTTTTGCAAGTCAAGTGATTATATCAGAAAACTGGAATATGAAAGTTCAAGTAATTATACTGGCAACCTGGAATATTTAAGCCTATGTAATAGATGCTATAAGAAGACCAAGATGTATATATAAGTAATTCCCTCCCCTCAAAGAATTTATAATCTGTCTGGAGAAATCTAGTTGAAGATATAAAGCATGAACACATGAAAAAATAAGTAATTAAAATTTAGATAATAGTAAAATGCCAATGTAATCAATATCTCTGAATAATTAAGAGCTACATAATAATTTGTATGTGTCTGGGAATTTGAAATTTCCTATGGAAAAGTCCTGGAGAGGCCAGGGCTGGAAATAAATATTAGTTACAGGAGACAAGTCATTTTTCCAAGGACACACAGCTAGTAATGGGATGAACTGACCTTAATATGTTATAGTCCTTGTAAGTTATAATCCAGTGGTCTTTCTACTACATTCTGCATTTGACATAGAAAAGATTGTAGTTACATAGGAAAGTAATGATGAGCAAAACTTTTGTGACAATAAGAGAAACAAATGTATGTTAGGATGATGTGTAAATAACGTTAGGTTTGTTGAATCTTCAGATATGTATATTTTTGTGTTCACAAGCTGGTCACTCTATGGTTCCTATTGAAAATAGATTTACATTAAGAAATGATCTCTGAATGTTCAAAGCAAACACTACTGTGGGTTTGCTTAAGTGAGTAGAAGGGCAAAGAACTCTTCATATGAAAGGAACAGACTATTTGGACTAGAAAACAAACAAGCACAGAATGCCATTTGAGCATTTATGAGAGGAATAGATGGTTTGGTTGTGATTGTTTAAAGGTAATGAATTGGAAAAGCCACATTTTCTCTTCAGGATGTCTGAGACACACTCCAAGCAGGAGCAGCTCCCTCCTCAAAAGCATTCATCAGATTCAGAACTATACAAACAGCACCTCATCCTGAGTTTCCCCTCTTAGTTTTAATCAGGAGTATTTTTACTAGTTGACTTTTTAAAGTAAATCATTTTTACATTTTAATTGTATTATGTTATTTTTCCACATTTAATTTTTTAAATTTATGTTTTCTTTACAGTGAGGTGACATAGCTAGTAAAATTAACTATTTTCAATGCAATGTAGAGTTTTTTGAGTTTTTACAAATGCCTGAAGCTATCTAACCACTTCCACAACCTAGATATAGAACAACTCCTTCCCCCCAAAAAATTCCCTGGATCTCTTTTATCATCAAACTCTACCCCTGCTCCCAACCCCTGCCAACCACTGATCTGTTTTCTGCACCTATGGTTTTGCCTTTCCCAGAATGCCATATAAATGAAATGAAGACTTTTGAGTCTAGCTTCTTTTACTTAGTACAATGTAGTTAAGATTAATCCATGTTGTTGTATGTATCCATCCATATGATTTCTGGGTAAGTATTCCATTGTGTTCCACTGTAGTTTGTCTATCCATTCACCAATTGAAAGACAACTGAGTTGTAGCCAGTTTAAGTGGGTTTATGAGGTTATAAAGTCACTATAAGCATACATATTGAAGTTTTTGTGTGAGCATAAGTTCTTTTGGGTAAAATTCTAGGAATGGGATTGAGGGGGTTCATATGATAAGTGTATTTTAAAGAATACACTTTATAAGAAATCACCAACTTTTCCAAAGTGACCATACCATTTTGTATTTTCACCACCAATAAATGAGAGTTTCAGTTTCTCCACACTTGTCAGCACTTGGTATTGTCATGGTTTTCGTTTGTGTGTGTGTGTGTGTGTGTGTGTGTGTGTGTGTGTGTGTATCTGGCCATTCTAATTGGCATCTGGGGTTATTTCATTGTGATTTTAATTTGCATTTCACTAATGAGTGATGATGTTAAACATCCTTTCATGATTTTATTTGCCATTTACTTATCTTCTTTGATAAAGTGTCTGTTCAACTCTACTATTCATCTTTACAATTTGGATGTTTGTTTTCTTATATCAAGTTTTGAGGGTTCTTTATATGTTCTAGATGTAAGTTACATGTCAGATACGTAGTTTGTAAATATTTCCCGCTAGTCTGTAGCTTGCCTTTTCAATCTCTTAACAGTCTTTCACAGAAGAGAAGTTTTTAATTTTGCTCAAGTCCAATTTATTGTGTTTTTTTTCATATTTTTAATGTCATATATAAGAAAACTTTGTCAAACATAAGGTCACAATTATTTTCTCCTTTGTTTTCTTCTAGAAATTTCAGTTTTATGTTTTAGATTTAAGTCAATGGTCTATTTCATCTAAGTCAATGGTTAATTTCCTTATAAGGTACAAAGTGTAGGTCAAGATTCATTTTTGGCATATAAATGTCCCATTAAATTGAGCACCTTTTTGAAAAGATTATACTTTCTTTATTGAATTGTCTGTATTAAAAATCAGTTGACCATATATCTCTATTTCTGGACTCCCCATTCTGTTCCATTTATCTATGTTCTATCCTTTCATCAATATAACACTTGATTACTTAGCTTTTAGTATGTCTGAAAATCTAAGAGATGAGTCCTCCAGGATTGTTTTTTTGCCAGGATTGTTTTAACTATTCTAGTTCCCCTGCCTTCCCATATAAATTTTGGAAACAGCTGTAAATATATGTTTTTTAAAATTCTACTGGAGTATTGATTTGGATTGTGTTGAACAGATAAATCAGTTTGGGGGGAATTGGTATCTATTTATTTAGGTCCCCTTTAATTTTTCTAATCCTGTTTTCATGAATACTACATTTAAAAGTACTTAACTATTTTATGTTTTGTATTAAAGTAGTACTGTTTTTTATCGTTTTAATTTTCAGTTGTTCATTACTATAGTATATAAAAATTTTTGTGCCGAACAGGTTTGGCTCAGTGGATAGAGCGTCGGCCTGCGGACTCAAGGGTCCCAGGTTCGATTCCGGTCAAGGGCATGTACCTTGGTTGCGGGCACATCCCTACTGGGGGGCATGCAGGAGGCAGCTGATCGATCTCTCTCATCGATGTTTCTGGCTCTCTATCCCTCTCCCTTCTTCTCTGTAAAAATTCAATAAAATATATTTTTTAAAAAATTGTATATTGTCTGTGTATCCTACAGTCCTAAGCTCACTCTAGTGATAGATTTTTCTTATTATTGTCTTAAGTTTTACATATGTCTCCTTTTTCCCCAAATGCTGTGCCCCCCAACTGTTCCCACCCCAGGCAAGCCTTCACCGCCCCAGTGTCTATGTCCATTGGTTATGCTAATATGCATGCATAAGTCCTTTGGTTGCTCTCCAACCCCCACCTCCCCTGCCATTTGTCTCTGGATCTATTTTTGTTGATCAAATTATGTTGATCATTATAGCCCACATATGAGTGAGATCGTGTGGTATTTATCTTTCTCCGACTGGCTTATTTCACTTAGCATAATGCTCTCCAATTCCATCCATGCTGTTGCAATTGGTAAAAGTTCCTTCTTTTTTATAGCGGCATAGTATTCCATTGGGTAGATATACCACAGTTTTTTAATCCACTCATCTACTGATGGGCAATTAGGTTGTTTCCAAATCTTAGTTATTGTAAATTGTGCTACTATGAACATAGGGGTGCATATATCCTTTCTGATTGGTGTTTCTGATTTCTTATGATATAGTCCTAGAAGTGAGATTACTGGATCAAATGGTAGTGCCATTTTTAACTTTTTGAGGAAACTTCACACTATCTTCCACAGTGGCTGCACCAGTCTGCATTCCCACCAGCAGTGCATGAGGGTTCATTTTTCTCCACACCCTCGCCAGCACTTGTCGTTTGTTGATTTGTTGATGATAGCCATTCTGACAGGTTTGAGATGGTACCTCATTGTTGTTTTGATTTGCATCTCTCAGATGATTAGTGACTTTGAGCATGTTTTCATCTGTCTCTTGGCTTCCTGTGAATGTCCTCTTTCGAAAAGTATCTATTTAGGTCCTTTGCCCATTTTTTGATTGGATTGTTTCCCATTTGTTTATTTTCTCCTTAGTCTCCATTGCCCTAGGAGCTGTGTCTATAAAGATATTGCTACAGCATATGTCTGCTTGCTATTTTGCTGCCTATGGAGTCTTGTAGGGTTTTTATGGTTTCCCATCTTACATTTAAGTCCTTTATCCATTTTGAGTTTGTTTTTGAGTATGGTGTAAGTTGATAATCTAGTTTGTTTGTTTGTTTGTTTATTGCGTGTATCTAACCAAATTTCCCAGCACCACTTATTGAAGAGACTGTCTTGACTCCATTGTATGCTCTTGCCTCCTTTGTCAAATATTAATTGAGCATAATGGCTTTGGTCAATTTCTGGGTTCCTCTGTTGTGTCCCATTGGTCTATATGTCTGTCCTTGTGCCAGTACCAGGCAGTTTTGAGAACCGTGGCTTGGTAATATAGCTTTATATCAGTGATAGATTTCTAAAATTTCACTTTTATAGTATAAATGAAGGATTACATTTTAAACCAAGAATAAAAATTCTATTCCATATTTTTAAATCAGAATTGTAGGGGCAAGCTTTGTCTCTGATTGTGTAGATCTATTTATGGGGTGATGTATGTGGCTAAGTGGGCCAACCTTTGAATCTCAAATATGTGAATGATAAATC